TAAAATTTTTTTAACTTAACAATCAAACGTTCTCTGAAGCTAAAACACATATCATTTTATAGCTAAGGTGTTTATCTGTAGAATGGCATATCTCTCAGCTCTATTGAACATTTCTATGAAAAGCTGTCATTTTTTCAAAATATGGTACTTTTCGCTACTATTAAAATAATAAAATGGTTATAACTCTTGAAGGATTGAACGAGAGCACGAATGGTTTTCAGATTCGTAATCAGCATCTTTAAATTAGCAAAGTGGGGTACATTGCTTTGAAATCCCAGGGAAACACCTGGGGACCTTCCCTCGTCGCTCAAATATACAAGCTGTTTATTCATTCCTTTAAACGTTCACTCAGTTATATACACGCAATATATAATTTGCATAATGAATGCGTGATGGTATCGTCTTTGTATTTTTGAAGTTCAGCTATATATTTTTGTTTAGTTTAAATTTTAACCAATCATCGTCGTTCTTTTCTACATTTCAATGACTCACGATGAATCACAAAAGGAAAAAGAGAGTTATAGTATTTCGCAGCTATAGATCGCTACAGTAAGCTAGTTTAAGATAAGTCAGACATGAAAATTAAGCTCAAAATTTTTAATCAAGTTTTAATGATTTATGACATGATGCTAGTGAAAGTAATATAGTTTTCCAAATTGAAACTTTGATTGTTGTTCTAGCTCTACAGGTAGGACGTGGTAAATGTGTTGGTAAACTTTAATGAGGAAATACGCTTTACCCAAAAAAATACGGCGGTTCAGTTTTGTGCTTGATTTACGTGTCCAACTTATTTCAACTCTACATTGTTCACAAGTGAATGTGCTGATGATGACTAAGAGAGACACATACGTTCGTTCGGTTGGATGAACTAGATCTAAGTGACTTAAGTATTTGAAGTAAAGTAGATATTTCTTGTTAAACTGTAAGCTAAAACTTTCAAAGTGTTCATAACGCTAGTTTTACCGCAATAAACGACTTTACAGCGTCTCTTGCGTTTCACTCCTCCACGAACCTAAATAAGTTTTACTTGGTCACATCATGTATGGTATCGAGAATCTTTTATTAAAGTAAACTTTTCAAATTAGATTATTTCACCATCTTTGATTGCTGTTTTAGAAAACTGCTGCTTTTTTTATCCCGAGTGAATACAAAACCAATATACCATGAGTAGTAAAACCGAATTACATAGAAAATTAAAAGAGATTGGCTATGAAATTGGTCCATATGCCTCGAAAGATACACTAGAAATTGTTATGCGATTACATTCACAGGTAGTATCAATATATCTTATCACACTCCTTATGTCTCTCATGTGTGGATATTTAGGCTGTTCACAAGGGTATCAACGTCTCAAAATTGAATGATCTTGATTTGAGAAAAAATTTGAAAGATTATAATTTAACTGTGGGACCAGTAACGAGTAAGTGTTGAGTAAGATGACGCTTTTGAATGCCATACTTACGATTTTGTAAAAAAATTACTATTTATTTGACTATTTTTATTAACTTTATATCTTGAGGTAATATTTTTTGATAAGAGATCAAATTATACTTTAGATCAAACACGTCCGATTTATCAACGTAAACTATTAGAATTAATTACAAACGAAATAGCTGAAGGTACGTGGTCACAACAAAGGATTACTTTATAATTATTGTTTTATTTCTTAAAGGAAATGACGATGATATGGATGTTGATTTTGTTCAAAATTCATCAACAGCATCATCAACACCGCCAAAACCAGTATCATCAACTACTTATTCTTCTTCGTCAATATCATCACGAGATGGAATAACAATAAGGAATGGAAGATAAGTTTTCACGAAACGTTTAATAAATAATATTAATGAGAGAGTATAATTTCGATAAGTTTGTTTGGTCCGATTAAGCAAACATGAATACAGCTTTGCTTTGTTTCATTTAAAGCAAAAATGGCAAATTTTTACAAGAAATTAAGAGTTTATTAGAATACTTTCAACGTATGCACAAATTAAATTCATGGTTTTGATTTTATATTTTAGATCAAATGACATATTATCACCAACGAATATACCAAATGCAGATCCTCGCGTTCAGTTGACACGTATTAATACTGATGATAATACTGGCATTTCTCCACCATATCCAAAATTACCACCAAAACGAGACGTAACTCCCCCTTCATTTAAGACAAATTTGTTTTCAACAAATTTCAGAACATCATCAACTGATAGTACTGTAACATCGTCACCTGTCAAACGTTATTCACCAGGTGACGATTATGGGAATAATAATCAAGATGGGTTATCAAACATTCCTTTAAAATCATCAATGCGATCAACCGATGGTACCACTTATGGTTTACGCAATCCATATAATTTTCAAAATGATGATTATCAACCAACAACAACGTACACAAGTCCTTTTACATATTCAGGTTTGGAGTCCAAATCAAGTAATGACACAATGACATCGAATACAAGTCAATATTTACCAAAACTCCAATTTGCGTCAACAACACACAATACCCCAAGATATGACAATTTTGAGTAAGTTCACCTCTGATTTGTTTTTATCTAATGACCGATTTTCCATTATAACTGTTGTACTTTTAATTTATGGTTTTAGTGATTCAGATACAAATGTGATTCATCGACGAACCCATGAGCCAGCAACGATTATTGAATCGAGACCATCAAAATACTCCTCATCACAGCCAAAAAAAGTCTCATTTTCCGATGAAAATATTCCCGGTGGTAAAATGAATATTCCTGGTGAAAAATCGAATAAGGATAAAATGGATTTGGTTGAGTCAGCTAAGGATAAAGGTACGGTACGAACAATAAAGAAAGGGTTTGGTCTTCTTTGCTAGTTGTAATTGGTTGCTTTTAACCTTTTTATTGTAGGTAGCGGTATGTTATACGGTGGTATTACTCTAATAGTGGCTATTTTTGTATTTATTTTATATATCTGGTTAGAAAAATAAAAATATATTCGTTTTTATCTTTAACTTTATTATTTTTTTATAAACAGACGTCTGCATATTTTTGTCATTAGTTTTTAATCAAAGAACTTAAGAAAATTTTAAACTTTAAGAAATTTTTTTGATCAAATTTATTTTTTTTTCATATTGGATTATTTATTGTCTTCGATAAAACCAAGATCTTTGAAATTTAATAAAGATATTTTTTGCGTTTTGACTAATTGATATTTTGCATCGTATCTGAATGCCGCAGTAGTTTGGATAATAAAAAGATTTTCAAATCGTTCTTTTCTCTGGATGACATGCTGGTCCACAATAGAATTTATTTTAGTATTTATGGTTTGAAAATATATAATAAGTAAATAAAAAAGCAATGACTTGGTACATTAAAATGTTGAGCTATCCTCTACGTTACAGCCATAATTTTTTCCGCTTTTATTAACTTCGCTGAAGATAAGAGTCTTTAAACCAAGAGTTCATACATAAAATAACTGTTATTGTTTACGGAAGTGAAAGATTTTTATTTGACATTCGAACATTTTTTTCGTTCGTTTGTTTAATTTTTATTCGAATTCAGTAGACACTTTGATATGTTAACATATAATCGGTTCTAGAAGCAACAGTAAAGTAGACAGAAATCGCACTACGCGAGAGTTGCAAATGCGGTACGAAGCCTCTACAGATGAGTAAACTGAGTACTAATAAGGCGTAAAATGTTGATTGCTCAGTGGGGATTCATACGATCTATTTCTGAAAACGGGCGTAATGCCCACAAGCCAACTTCGAAAGTGAGCGTTTTCATTTTATACGACGCGCGTTCACAGATCGGATTAATTATCGCTTTTTGCTTGAAAATTTCAAAGTCTTGAACCTTCAATGACCTACTTTCAGACGCTATAGATAACATGAATGTCCTACAATCATGGGAAAAACTTACTACATACGTTGGACACAGAACTCTCTACTCCTTTTTCAACTTTCAAGAGAAGACGTTCACTTGAGAAAATCGTTATAGAAAATGACGGCAAAGATGTATGTGTGATTATGTAGGGAAAAAAGACAAAGCTGATTACTAGAATGTGATTAGTGCTTCGCACTACATTAATGAATAAGAAATAAGCGAGTATAGAACTCCTACCATTTTGATTTTATTCGCGAATAGTTCATACAATCTCATTGTTTTCTCTTTATTAGAATTGAAATAGTTTATATCATTTTTCTTCTTCGTTTTTCGTTCTTCCAATTGTAGTTAAAATTGGATATATATATATTGTATTTTTTTCAGTATGTTTCCTGACGATAATAAGTGTTACTTATTGAGAGCTTGAAATGATCAAGTTTTAGTTGTGATTTCTGAATAAAATCCAAATGATATTTGTAGTAGTCCTATACTCTATGTTAACATATTTTCAATAGTGGAAAAACGAAAATGGTCTAAAATTCAAATCTAAAAACGATATACTAGAGAACAATATAATAATATATAATAGAAATTTAGCAAATAAGGAGATATCTTTTCCCACATAAGATATGCCATGGGCGGAGGGAGATTCTTTCGTCTCAGTGCGTCAATAGAAAAGAAAAAGAAAACAAAAAGATATGCATATGTGAAAATAGATATCCATTTATTAGCTATAGTTCTCTAATAAGAAAAAGTTCGAATGTCAAATCTAATTAGAAAATGCCAAAAAATTATTTGCAAGCTACGTTTTTGAATGTGTGTGAGAGTCTCACAGAACGAACATCGATTCTTCGTAAAACTGTCTATTCTAATACGAAGACCACTTTCTCTACCCATTTACTGCCAATTTGAATTATTCAATCATTCAAAACTAATTCTTATGCAATGATAAACTGAAAATGAAACTATTTATTTTGCACTAGTAAACTGAGGATTCCCGATCTCCACTAAAAGTTTTTTGGATAGCACCGATAGAATATACTGAACACACTAATTCCATAAAAAATGTGCAGTACTTTTACAATTACTAGGAGATCAAAAGAACTAAACGAAATCAATGTAAAAGTGGCGAATAATTTAACCGACAGTCTATTTAAAAAAGATTTAGATTTTTTAGAACATTTAAATCAAAAAAAAGATGATCGAAATTTTCATCTCACAAAGTTATGCAGAAAATTTTAACGTAACCGCTATTTATGTAATCATAACAAAGATCTCTAATATGTACAAGATATATTTTAGTAAAAGGATCAGGGGTTCATGTGAGACAATTTACAGAGAAAACGAATGAAGAACATCGTATATTCATTTTAATTAGGAGTCTTCAAATAAGTATTTTTTTTCCTGAAGCAGTTTCTAAAACTAATTCTTAGCTCAACAAGGATGACGTCTATGGCCATCTGAAATGCTGAATAGTATATGTGAACTTGCAATAAAACATAAATACAAAATTTCTCTAATGGGTTTCTTAATAACCTCGAAACAATTTTTTTTGGGGTGAAAGAGACAGTTTGTATGTTGGATGGTATTTAAAAAAAATGGAACCGGAAAAATGAGAGAACGGTTCTCTGTTGAGAATTTTCCATTTTTACGCTGTATAATGACTACACTAGAGGCTGCCTTCTTCTCCAAGCTCCAAGTTTTTTCATTTTTCTATAAAAGAAAACATTTGTGTGTAGATTTTACTGCTGAGAATGAGATTTGATTCGGTCCGTGCAATAAACTCCTTGTATACGAGGATGTCTAAAAGGAAACACAGACTACTATAAAAGTTAGTCCTGTGTCATACAAATTGTCAAATATTTTTGAGTTAAACGCCTGATATTTTGATAAAAAAATTATTCATTTAATGACAGAAAGAAACTATGATGGGTTTTTGAATGCTTATCTTATTTGAAGAATGTAGCATAATGGATCAATTGTGTAAGTACTCTATATAATACAAAAAGTATAATTACAATTATCGATGATTGTTTCGAGATGGTGTTGAGACTCCAGGGTTGACAGTACGAGCATTGGAATCGCCAACAAGAAATAATGATTCATCATTTTGGATATGGAGTAAAAGAAAGTCAGGTTTATTATATTATATATAATTTATCAAAAAACACATCAGTTTTCATAAGCTTTGGATCCGGCACATGATTCAAGTTACAAATAAGTTTTTTCCTTAATGACCAATGCGAGAAGGATTGTTTCAATATCTTTTAAAGAAGCAATTGAGATTTGCTGAATATCATCTCTTACATAGACAGACACACACACACACACACTTACTTTCTACGCTTGTTCAGCTGATACAGAGCGCAATTAGCGATATCGTTAGTTAAAGAAGAAGAGAGGATAGTCTCCTGAAAACAGTAAACTGCAGTGTGAGTCTGAGACGGAGGAAATTTAACAGCATCCAAATGGAGAGAGAGGGACTGAATATTATGTGATATGATTCTGAGGCGCTGAGAAAGCGGGCAACGAGAGGATTCGGTGGTGAATGGGGAAGCGGAAAAGACGAAGAATCAACCCATAACTGCTATTTATGTTGTAAACATTCGTTTGATGGCTTTGTTATTTTTTGTGTACCATTAAAATTTAGACCACTTAACCCACGTAAACTCACCTTGTGACAAATGTTTCTCATTGGAATCAAAAGTCCCCTGATCCATGTCCTAGCACCAATCCTAAGACCAAGGTACCATCTTTAGTACCAAACTTATGAAGAACTACTTCGCCTAATCAAGTTTCGTTGACTTGTATATAGAAGAAAGAGAAAAATTCGAAGCCATTTGAAGAAAATTCCTAGTAGAAATCTTAGGCGCTTCTTAAAACTACCTTACTAAGATTTTACTCTTTAAGGTCTTCATAAGGTAATCTAAGATCTTATGATCTTAATAAGATTTGATGACTGTACTTCCATTCACTCTTTTGCTTGTCGCTCATGCAAGTATACAAGTCGCACCGAAATAGCTGAATTTCAATGTTATTTGTCTTTCAGACTCAGCTACTACTCGCTCTCCCGAAAGTGTCCAACAACTTTTCAGAGAGAGTACAGTGCAATTGTCAAGGTTCATGGTCGAATATCAGAAAATATGAAATTTCTCTTTATTCTTCAAAACTGTTCAAGTAATACTTTGAACAGTATAGGTTAGATGTCCGAAAATCCATAGTGAATAGTGAATGAATGTCATAAAAAACCGTCATCGATCTTATTATTAAGATCTTAACAAGTTCTTACCGAATCTTGAAAAAATCTTAGACAATATAATTTTAGTAAGATCTTAGAAAAATCTTAGCAATTCTTAAAATCTTCATGTCTCACGATCTTAGTAAGATTTGCATAAGATCTTAGACAAATGTAAGCGAAATCTTACTACGGTCTTAATAACATTTGCATAAAATCTTAGTAAGATTCGAATAAGTTTCTCACTAGGAATTAGTGTTATATACATATATACTACTAGCGGAGGTACCCGATGTAGAGTGAGTTGCCTTGAACTTTTCCATCTTTAACAGGACCTTCCCCGCCGTGCATAAATTGAGATGCTTAGTCACACCGACTATATGATGTGAGAATTTAGTTT